ATGGCATGATCAAGGGCTTTTAAAAAATGTATAATTTTTCATTTTTTGGACAAATTTTTTTTTGCTAACATTTTTACTATAAAACTGGATTTTGCGATAAAAAATTCAATTTTCGCAAATTTGCAAATTTTTTTGGAGAATTTAAAAGTAGAGCACAAGAACTTTCAAATGATGTATAATTTGTCATATTTGGACATCAAACATGGGATTTAGAGGGGGGGTCAAATTGACCCCCCCCCCCAGCATATCCTGGTTTTCAAGTACCCCAGCAGAGATAGGGTTAAAATCAAACGTTTCCTGAACCAAATATCCTGATAAGTATAGAACGATCCGTTCATTCATCCTTCAATCATTACTTTTTCAGAAAAATTTAGTTCGTCAACGAAAGCACTCCATGCATAACACAAATTCTTATCCACGAAACTATTTTTTTTTTGAAAAAATTTGATATTTCAAAAAATTGTTGGAAAAATGTTATTCTATTGTTTTCCTAGATTTCATTGAAAATTCCTCAAAAATTGAAAAAGATTTAACAAAAAATTCGCACAAAAATTCGAGTGGAAATCTGCAGTAAATGTTATTAAATTATTATCATAGAACTTTTTTCACTTCAAAAATGCAAATAATTGGCAGACATTTTTTGTTGTATCTCATTCAACTTTTGAATTTTTATAAAATTTTTGAGAACAATAGAAAAAAAACATTTTTCCAACATTTAAAAAGTTTAATTTTTTCAATAATAATTGGTTTCGTGGATTGTGTTTTAAATGTTTAAAAATTATTTTGATTTTTTTTTATCACTTTTTATTTTATTTAATCATATTAAAGCCTAAACTCCAAACAAAATGATAATTTTGATAATTTTGTCAAACATCGATAATCCCTGTTCTTTTAACTCACCCTGTGCATAAATTAATTATAATTTTACATTACTCCGAAGAGCATTATTATTATAGAGTAGAATGAGGTCGAAAAAAGTGACCACCCCTTTGTTTTGCTGTTTCCATACTGCAGGTGAATTTCACACATTTGGGCCCAAGAACATCTTTTATTAAAAAAAGATAATTCTATTTTCTCTAAATCAATTTTATGACAACCTGTCATCCATTCTGCCTATTATAGACCTGAAAAGAATTCAGTATTAAAATTCCAAGATTGAGTGGAATATCAAAGCATGGTTGCACACACAAAATATTTTCATTATGACGATACAAACGATTATTAAAGTTGACATATATATACATGACATTCAACTCTTCTGATCAGATGCTTCGTGCTATATGACTCCCCTATGGAACTCCAAGGCTGAGATCACCGAGGATCTGCTTTCTCTGCTGGTAAGATCAATGCCGTTTGACTTGCTACAGGGTGTCCCACGAAACATGACAATAGCAAGACGACTTGGAAGTCGTCTTTGATATTTGAATTTATTTGTGACATTTAGTCTTCTATCTACTTTAACATGTATGATTCTTGAAACAATTATCACATAATTCTCCTAGCCCTGGCATTTCTAAAAAGTGGTCTGCGTTTTTTGTGCTTTCAATATTACCGGAGATATAAAGAGTTTGGTTCAGATTTCAATTTTGTTAAATAAAAGCAAAATTGTCGAAATCTGAACGAAATTCTTCATATCTCGGGCAATATTGAAAGCACAAAAAAGGCAGACCACATTTTGGAAATGGCAGGACAAGGGAAATTTTGTGATTATTATCTCTAGAAATTTACTTCTAAAATTAGGTTGACAAATAAACGCAGCAAATTATATCAAAAATCAAGACGACAGTCAAGTCGTCCTGCATACTGTCATGTTTCGTGGGACACCCTGTATCTCTAGATGAGAAAGAGGGTTCAATACCCTTGTCCCACTTCTATGTTAATCCTTTCTCCAGCATCAATCCTTGCATCCGGCGGCTTTTGGGTGGTATCTCTAGATAAGAGAAGGGGTTCAATACCCTTTTGGACTAGATTGTTAGGCATTATTCTTAGATTGCATATATTTTTTATGTGCATCATTTCTCCAACTGGTAGCAATGAACTTATATGAGATTATTTACATAGGGATGAACCCTGGTTGGGTTCACACTATATAACTATATACTTTCACACTATATATTTTGAAAAAAGGGATGTTCTTGTAAATTAGCCATTTTTACAAGGAGGACTATTTTTTAAGAAGATCATGTTTTTTCTGAGCCCTGTATCGTTAATTGTCTGTTTTTCTGTTCTTGGAAAGCTGACCAGACAATTTGTAGTATTTCAACACAGCTTAGCTCAGCTTTTGCGTACACATGTTTGCTAGGGTCAGTTTTACACATTTCCTAGATCATTTAAATTCAGGAAGATTTTTTTAAGGGAGGGGGGTGGGACTTCTCCCATCCTGTTTTTGTCTTTATTCACTATCGATAAAAAAGATAGTGTAAAGCTTAAAACACCCCTTCTAATTTTCATGTTCTTTATTTTCTTTTTTTTTCTTGTTTATCTCGTTTTGCACTGTAAGACCTTTCCAAATAGTCCTTTTAACATGTGAGTTGTTGAAAAGGTAGAGGAGAGAGATTAGGAGATTTGTAAGAAGAAGGAATTATAAAGAAACTCATAACTGCACCCCTTATGCAAAATGCGGAGTTGTAAGCTCTGTAAAGCCCTCTTGAAGGGAATCTTCTTCAGCAGTCCAGTCCTCACAGCTGGTTGAGTAAAAAACCAATACCATTGTGCATTTATACCCATCAGAGGCTAGATAACTTCTTTCATCTTCAGAGAACCCAGATAACACAAAACAAGAAAGGGAAATTACATACATAAAACATGGGATTTAGAGGGGGGGTCAAATTGACCCCCACCCCAGCATATCCTGGTTTTCAAGTACCCCAGCAGGGATAGGGTTAATCTATGTGTATTTCTTGCTTCCCCAGTAGTATACTAGATGTGTAACTAAACACAGCGCTCCCCTGGTTTTAAGGCTGGGACAAGGCTGGGACAAGGCTGGGACCCAAATAAGATAGGTCCATTCTCTCTGAAGCCAATAAGGCAACTGCTTTTTTTTGCATATGTTTTACTTTGTAATTGGATTTTGCCAATTTCAAATCTGAAATTTCTTTTCTGCCCTAGTTCAACCTTGCTTGATATCTGAGTAACAATAAAGGAGTCATTAGCATTTTCTAAAAAGTCTCCCCTTAACCCTGCTAGCAACAACACATCTCTGTGACTCTCTCTCTCCAAACCTGATACCAGCTGACCCAGCTGTTGCTATGGTGGGAAGCTTAAAACACAAACAATGATAATTACACATAAACTCTTGGAGTTGTACAGGGAAGGAGTGGATCTAGGACTGGATATCAAGCTTAACCTGTGGACTAAAGATGGAGAAGAATTTTTCTCATTTTCTAGAGTTTCTCGACCCGTCAACCGGAGAAGGAGAAGAAACAGAGGTGTGATGTCAACTCTGAAGGAAGTGAGACTACCCCAGCAAGAAGTGCAGTCTCCCCTGAAGGAAGTGCGGTCCCCTCTGAAGGAAGTGCAGTCTCCCCTGAAGGAAGTATGGACCCCCCTGAAGGAAGTGGGATCCCCCCTGAAGGAAGTGCGGTCCCCTCTGAAGGAAGTGCGGTCCCCCCTTAAGGAAGTGCGGTCCCCCCTGAAGGAAGTGCGGTCCCCCTTGAAGGAAGCTAGACAACCCTTGTGTGATGTGTCAAAGTCCCCATGTCAGGAAACAGGCGCCCATGGAAGATTGTGAGGAAACCCCTGAAGGAAGCTAGACCTCCTCTACTAGAAGATAGGAAGGCCAAGATGAAAAGAGCTAGATCTCCATTCATCACTTCCTCCCCTATTCCCCAGCTTGATGGGATATGTACACCATCAACACCTAACACCAATCTTCTTTCCAGGCCTAAGGTTACTGAGGAATCTGATCCTGAGTCAGCACCTGAACCTGAACCTGATCCTGAGTCTGCGCCTGAACCTGAACCTAAGACTGAGTCTTCCCCTGAACTAGAACCTGATCCGAGTCTACGCCTGAACCTAAACCTGAGACTGAGTCTGCGCCTGAACCTGAACCTGAGACTGAGTCTGCACCTGAACTAGAACTTGATCCTGAGTTTGCGCCTGAACCTGAGACTGAGTCTGCCCCTGAACCTTTTCCTGAGACTGAGTCTGCGCCTGAACCTGAACCTGAACTTGAGACTGAAGCTGGTCCATAATCTGAAACTGAACTTGAAATCAAACTAAAACCACCTGTGAACATTGCAAACCCAGTTTTTACGAAAAATCCTCGAAATTTTGCGAAATATATTAATTGAAAATTTAGAAACCTTTATTATCAGAATAATATCGAACCATGAATGAATCTTATTAGCGTCTTATTACTTAAGACAACATTTTATAAATAAACATGGGGGTTAATGCCTCCCCAGGCAATCCATTTTGCTTGATGTATGTATTATATGAGATAGGAAAATTATTATTTTAAGAGAAAAGAATTTTAAAAAAGATTAACAAGTTTTCACAAATTCACATTACAAACGACAAATTTTACGTTTAAATGTTTAATGAAATTATAACCTTGATTTACTGGACTAGCTTAAAAACTTGCCTAAAATTGATTTGACAATTTTGTAAAAAGAAAAAATTTTAACGGATATATTATTGTTATGTTATCATAATTGTAAACTGTGAACCCCTTTTCAGACTCAAAAGGAATTAAACAAATTCATATCTTGGGATAGTTTAATTTCCTTCTATCATAATCTCTGTGCTGTGCATAACTCTTTGGGACGCTTTTTAAATAATGTTTTTAGAATTTTTAAATTTAACAAACGGTATTATTCACTGAGAATTAAGGACACACATTTATATTTTAACATATTTGCATTGGATTTGATTTGTTTTAATTAGGCTAAATCTGAAAATGTTATATTTGATACTGTTATTTCTAATTAAAGATTGTAAATATTTTCTTATTTCCAATGCTTAATAAACTAAAAATGAAAGAATTTTTTTTTCTTCAGGTATTTGGTTTTGTGGGTTCGCAAGCCTAGGTTATGGAACTGTGATGTATGTCTGGATGATGGAACACGTCTCAGGTACTGTAGGCATAAAGGTTTGGCAGAGAGTTTCAGATAGGCATACAGGTTTGGCGCAGAGTTTAAAGTAGGCATCATGATTTGTCGGAGAGTCTCAAGTAGGGATAAAAGTTTGTTGGACAGTTTCAGGTAGGCATAATGGTTTGGCGGAGAGTCTCAGATAGGCATAAAGCCTAGAGCTTAAAGTAGGCATAATGATTTGGCGGAGAGTCTCAAGTAGGCATAAAGGTTTGTTAGACAGATCCTGGTTGGCATAAAGGTTTGGCAGAGTGTTTCAGATAGGCAAAAAGATTGGGGGAGAGTTTCATGTAGGCATAAAGGTTTTGCAGAGAGTCTTAGGTAGGCATAAAGGTTTGGCAGACAGTTTCAGACAGGCATAATGGTTTGGCGGAGCGTCTCAGGTAGACATAAAGGTTTGGCGGAGAATCTTAGGTAGGCATAAAGGTTTTACAGCGAGTCTCAGATCAGCATAAAGGTTTGGCGGAGAGTCTCTGGTAGGTATAACGGTTTGGCTGAGAGTCTCAGGTAGAGGCATAGGAGTTATGATTGTCAATAGTTGCTAAAGAAGTGGAGTAATGATTGTTAATAGTTGCTAAAGAAGAGGAGTTATGATTGTCAATAGTTGCTAAAGAAGAGGAGCTATGATTGTCAATAGTTGCTAAAGAAGAGGAGTAATGATTGTCAATGTTTGCTAAAGAAGAGGAGTTATGATTGTCAATAGTTGCTAAAGAACAGGAGTTATGATTGTCAATAGTTGCTAAAGAAGAGGAGTTTTGATTGTCAATAGTTGCTAAAGAACAGGAGTTATGATTGTCAATAGTAGCTAAAGAAGACAATTATGGGAGCTTGTCTGCATTATTGTTTTGAGTTTTGGAAACTGGGCACTGGTTTTAGCTTTTGTACCTCACCATCGGGAACATACTGATATTACGTGCCTACTAATGGCGCTCCCATGAACCTTGCGGTCAAAATCGTACCTAATGGCGCTAAGTTCGAATTACTCGAGATTAACAAAAAAATAAAAACAATCTAAAAGGGTTCAAGATATCCATTATAGGTCGGCATAAGACAATACTAGGAGCTTGCCCGCATTATTGTTTTGGATTCTGGGGACTTGGCACTGCTGTCATCAGCTACCTTGTACCAAACTGGAGACATTTACAGGTGACAGCAATATACATCATTTTCTTACTGCCTTTTATTAACATTACTGACCTATGATTCTCCCCAAACAGAAAGGAAGCTTTGCTAAGTGAAAAATTCTTGCATTTAAATCAAAAAAAAATTATTTGGGAAAAATTAAAATTTTGACTTGATCACAGGTTCCCTATACCAATTTTGCCAACAAAACATCCCTCAATGCGTTATGGATGTTTTGTAGGCAAAATTGGTCTCATGGGAACCATTTGTAAAGGAGAATTCCCTTACCTTCCCTTTAAAGTAGTTGTAAATAATTATTATTAATATTTTAAACTTCTATAAAAGGAATATAGAATAAGTTCAAGCAAGATTAAAAATCTTTAAATAAAGCTCAAAGGATAACCAAAGTTAGGGAAAAACTAGCAACAAATCTTTGGCCCCTGTATAATAACTCAAAGCATTGCATATTATGGGACAAAATCCCTCGCGGTCCCAAAAACAAATGCGCAATCCTAAACTATTTCTGCTTTTCTGTGGATGATGCACATTATCATTAATTATATTTTGTAAGATTGATTCAACCTTTATTTAGTAAATGCCATGATGGAAGGAAATAATTGACACAATTCTACTACTAAACTATCAACCTTATCAAATCTTGGAATCTATGCATTTAAAGGGACTGTAAGATTAATTTCAAGTGACCCTCTACGCAAAGATTGCAATGCCCGATTTACAACGGTACCCAAGGAACGAACCTTAGTCTGATCACAAATGTGAAAGATAAGAGTTTATTTCTTATAATTTCTTCATTGTTTCTTATTATGAAGAACTGTGCAAATTAATTTCACAGAAAAACAAATGAAAGTTAAAAATTAAAAACAAAACATAGATATCTAATTCATTCTTAATTAGGCAAAGTTCTGAATCTTTAAATTGAGGATTTAACCATGATTTATCCCGACCAAAGAACTATTTTATGATTTTTCTTATTTTTAGCTAATATTTTCCGTTCCCTGCCTGGTCCTTGCAGGGGCCTATTTTTACCTTCCAGAGTCAGCAAGGTGAATTTACCTTTAAAGGGATTGTTTATCTAGAAAAAAGATTATCTAAATCCCATATTATATTAATCATAATCAATCGGTTATGGGGGCACTTTGAACTGTAATCTTTATTGTTCATTATGTTTTCAAAAATAAGCTATTTATAGGAATTATTGGATTTATTTTGGGGGAAAATAATTTCGCAGTTTACATAAACAGGAATCCTCATTGTTTACCTAAACAGGAATCCTCATTGTTTACATAAACAGGAATCCTCATTGTTTACATAAACAGGAATCCTCATTGTTTACATAAACAGGAATCCACATTGTTTACATAAACAGGAATCCTCATTGTTTCAATTTAAAACTTAAATAATAAGTTCTTTGTTAATATCTTTTGCATGACGTCGCGTCGCTGGATTTGGGAAAATCATAATTTCAACGTAATAACTGCCGGAAGACTAAAATGCTGTGGCATGGAAAACAGTACGGTTGTGGAAGACAAAAAAATAATATGTGGCATGGAAGGGAAAATGTTGTGGCTTATGGCCGCCTGGCTGCCCCCGCTCCACAAGCCTGACATCTGTATCAAATCAATAAATGTGAAAGATAACATAAACTTAGTTTTTTCAAATAATGTTTAGTTTCGTGTATTTCTTTCATATGATTCAATAACATATTTGAAATTTTTAGTCACATTTTAAAGTATTTTTTACAAAAAAACTCGAAGCCAACAAAATGTTGAAAATTTTGTGCAATGCATCCGTTTTTTTGGTCCTAGCACTCTCATTTTTGACACTATCACCGTGAAATTTTGTGACTTTTAATGAAAAATAATTAAATTTTTTTTTTTTTAAATATTTTTTTTATTTATAGGGTAGGGTACAGGGTGGAAAAAAGTCCGGTCTGTAAAAAAAAAATCTAAAATAGCCCATAAATTTTTAGTGACTAAAGCTACAGATCTAAAAACTATATTTTTGAAAGCCCTTGAAAAATGCATACATAGATTCAGACCCCCCAGCCTTTATAAGGTTAAAATAACCGTATTTCTGTATTTATGGCTACTAGTGAATGTTTAGTAACTATATATCTGCCTAGATGGTTACTGGTGAATGTTTAGTAACTATATATCTGCCTAGATGGTTACTGGTGAATGTTTAGTAACTATATATCTGCCTAGATGGTTACTGGTGAATGTTTAGTAACTATATATCTGCCTAGATGGTTACTGGTGAATGTTTAGTAACTATATATCTGCCTAGATGGTTACTGGTGAATGTTTAGTAACTATATATCTGCCTAGATGGTTACTGGTGAATGTTGAGTAACTATATATCTGCTTAGATGGTTACTGGCGAATACTCATTAACTATATATCTGCCTAGATGGTTACTGGCGAATGTTTACTAACTATATATGTGCCTAGATGGTTACTGGCAAATGATTACTAACTATATATCTGCCTACATGGTTACTGGCGAATGATTACTAACTATATATGTGCCAGGTTGGTTATTGGCGAATGTTTACTAACTATAAATCTGCCTACATGGTTACTGGCGAATGATTACTAACTATATATCTGCCTAGATGGTTATTGGCGAATGTTTACTAACTATATATGTGCTTAGATGGTTACTGGCGAATGTTTACTATCTATATATCTTCCTAGATGGTTACTGGCGAATGGAAGAGCGGAGGAGGCAGAAGATCTTTGTCGAACCATTGCAAGGTAAAGTTAACAGATTTATAGTGATTTATAATAAATTAGCTGAAGTGCCCGGGTTGCCCGTGGAATTAAAAAAATTGATTTTTTTCATTTCAGCCCTTGTTACCCCTGGGGCACTTAAGGATTCCCTCAAGAAAAATTTCAGCTTACTCGGTCCAGCCGTTTGTATAGCTACACAGCTGAAGAGGCATAAAAGGGTGTTAGTTTAGCGTGAAGAAAACCCACATTTTTGGCTTACATGATTTCTATTAGTTTCTAAAGGTGACCTGGGACCTAATTTAATTAATTGGAAAGGTCGCTTGACTACTATCGCCGGTTCAAATCAATAATCACCGATTCTTATCCTCAATTTTGCATATAATAGATGGGGGGAAAGGCGGATTAAAAATATCAAAATCTAACTTTATGGATTAGTTAATTTAAGAATTTTTGTTTTTGTTTTTCACAAACAGGGATAAAATCGTGGGTAGAGATGGGTATCGGTTTTGGTAAGGAATAAAGTAGTTCAAAACTAACCTATTTTGTTGTGAACTTTGGTGTCGATAAATTAATGAAAGGAAAAAACAAATCGAACGATTTAAAGTCATTAACAATCTCTCACATTTACTTTAGTCAGATTTATAATTTTTTCGTAACCAATGTTTGAAGAGGATGGGTGGAGGGAGAGGCTGAGATATATATTTGTTTTATAGGAAAAATAAACATGGTAGATTTTAATTAATACATTCTAAAAAATATTCGATAGAAAAAAACAGTATTCAAAAATAAGATATATAAAAATGTATTTACTTATTTAACCAAATCTCGATTGGGCTATTTTTTTCTATTATAGATGGGGGGGGGGTGTTTCCCCCCCCCCCCTATCATTTTTCCTTTACAGTTGATAAATGTCCCTACTCCACTTTTTCAGGGCTTGCTCATTAAAAAACATTAGACCTCTATCTTTACTGGTTAGGGGAGGGGGCAAGGGAGGATTTAAAAAAATTCTATAAGTACATCGGAAAAATGTCCAATGTTATTGGCCATTACTGATTATGCATTAAAATTTTTTTTTCAAAATTTGTTTACAACTATGAAGTTGAAAAAGTGAAGAAGTATTAGCACTCTAATTTTAAGCCGTTTTTAAATTATCTAGGAAAAACCACAGGTGGGGGGGATGGAACCCCCCCCCCTCACCATGATCGTTCCAGGGTTAACATATATTCATTATTTATATTTAAATTTATCAAATTTATCATAAATATAATTCATAAATAGACATTGAAAGAAACTTTAAATTTTGGAGTTGTAGACCATTAGAAAAATCATTTGTTCATTATATCTAATTATCAATATGCTGAGAACATTTTTATGAAAATCATTTTCGTTTTTATTTATTTTATTTAACAAATTTTTAATATATTTATGTCCCAAGATAAAATGTGCACTGAAATGTTCTTTCATAAAATAAAGAATAAAAAGAATTAAAAAAAAGTACACAGTTTTCCAATTTACAAAGTATGTATAGAGCAATGTGATAATTAAGTGTTTTTACAAACAAATACTTGGTATTTGAAACTTTAATTAGAAACAGAACTGTAAATTAACATTAATCAATAAAGAGAGAATTTGAGACGCAAATTCTTGTAATATTAAATACTAGCTGAAGGAATTTGCCCGTGGAAAAAAAATTGTTAGAACAAATGTTGAAAAAAAGACGAAGATCTTGCAGCTGTCAATCACGTGACACAAGCTGTTGTTAGAGTTGGGTCTAAGATTGAGCCTTAAACCTGGGTATAATAAGGAATTACAACTTGAGCCGAAGGTTGCAAAGATTAACAAATTTGAGTTTGAAGTAAGCACTCGATTCCTTTAAGTTCCATCCTTTGTTAACCCTATTTTTGCTGGGGCCGGGGGGGGGGAAGGGGGAGGGGTCAATTTTACCCCCCCCCCCCTGTAGCTTTAATACAATGACTACTTTTTCCTTTATCAAACTAAATCTTTGTTTTGACCCACTTTTAGTCGTCAGAATTTGATAATTTTTAGCTTTTTGAAAAGCCATGACATAAGGAAACAAATTGCTCAAAGAAGTTTTGTAAAATATTTGCATTCAACCTGTTAAAATAAATTTGCACACTTTTAGTTTTTCTTAATTACACAGCAGGTTATTTAAAATTTGGCTTATTTTTTTTGCATATTTGAAATGGCATGGTCTAGAGCTCTTCAAAATTCAAATAGTATATTTTTTCATTTTTTTGCGAATATTGTTTGCAAACATTATATAACTACATACCTGGATTTTGTAAAAAATCCAATTTTTGCAAATAAATAATACCTATCTAAAATGTCTAAAAGCTATCGTTTCTTTATTAACGCTAAAGAGAAATTTCTATCATTTATGACATTGTTTTGATTTGAGTTTCCATTGAATGAAACGCTTCGCGAAAAATTGCGAAAATTATAGTTCGGATTTCACAAACTTTTTCGCGAAAATATATAGAGCGAAAAATGCGAAAACATTCAAAATTTATTGAAGTGATTCATGCGTAGGCTTCCCGACATACTCCAGAGAGCGTTATGCACAAATAAAGACATTAGCTGTGTGAAAAATCTTTGCGTAAATTGCATTTTCTATTACAGCACATCTTTGTTTTTTAAAATTGCATAGTTTGCACTTACATAAAAATTTCACTTTTTTATATCAATTGCAACCAGAAAGTTTGTGCAAAGGCCCAAACACATTATGCCAATAGAACATTAAAAAAAATTGTGTATGTAAAATTTTAGGCGTTACAATGGAATGTTGGGCCTTATTTTTGACAACTCTTACAAAGTTCATCCAAATTAATTCCGCGCGAAAACTGTGCTATATCTGCACTGCACGCAGAGTTTCAGCTGAAAAATTGTAAGCACAAATTGGCTTCTAATAGACACCATTGGCTAGAGTTAAAATTTGAATGCTTTACCTAAAGAAGGTCTTTAGTAAACATATTGTTGAAGGGAAAATGAACGCCCTTACTAAATCATTGAATTTCCTTCTACTTAAATAAACATTGAATAAGTTTTTTCCAGTGACAAAAAACACACACCTTGGAAAAATATTAATTCAAATTACAACTGCAGCAATTCAATTAAATAATTGGAATTATTACGCACCCATTCTTTAAAACATTTATGATTTCATGTGACCCATGCACATAGCAAAGACTCTTTTTGTTCAAGTTTTCTTAATTTACGTCATTAAGTTGTTACCATATCATAATATTTTTTATCTTATCCATCGTTTAAAATTTGTTCAACTGTCATCTTTAATGAAACCACCCTCTGCATGAATAGAACTAGACTCTACTTTGTACTTTGTCATCTAATAATAATTACCATAACAACATGTCAGTTTCAAGTAATGCTTTATTAGTTCCTAAATTATAGAACCTACTAATTGGGTAATGGATGGATACTTAGCTCTCAGATATATTTTATATTAGTATCTAAAACCTATACTTTTATAAGTACAGAAGACCAAAAAATGCACAGTAAAGAAGAGTCATTGAGTTGTTTTCTAAAAATTACCCTTTCCGTAATCTGTTTTTTTGAGAAAAAATGTCCGTAATCAGGTTTTTGCAGAATAATTATGTCCATACTTCGGTTTGTGCAGAAAAAATATATACGTAATTGGGGGGTTTCTGTTGATTACATCGATCCTTTTTCCTGCTTGTTCTTATATTGGTGCTATGCTATGCATTTAGAATACTTTATATTGATTCTTGTAAAGATTATTAATATTATCATGGTCTAGTTTATGTAAGTAGAAAATCTTATTAGTACCTTTTATTCAGTTCCAATTAGGACAGAAAGTGTCCAAACCACATATATCCTCTGAGAATTCATGTAAACTTACAATTGGTAGGATTCAGAAAAGTTTTTTTTTCTAACAAGACTGAACCAACTTAGACTGTTAACGTAATTTTATAAAGTAGTTTGTTTGGTTTGATTTAAAATTGATGAGCTATTCATGTTTTTGTCTTCCAAAATTGATTTTTCAATTGTTAAGCAAGTTTGCTTCAAAAACATAAAGGAAATTAAACACTTCAAAGTTACTTTATTTCTTCCAAATTATTATTCAGAAATGGTTAATTGAACATGCCTCTTTTCTAAATTGAAGGAGAGACGAAGAAACCCTATTTATCATTGGAAAAATTATATGTTACTTAAGATGTTCATACTATTTAAAGCAAACGTAAAAAAAGCAATCGATTTCGGTTTGTTTTACAAAACAAACCTTAGTTTTTTAAAACAAACACTTCTTCGTTTTTCATCTTAAAAAAAATTCTGTTTCCAAATGATAGATTTTAATATCATAGTTTTCTTTATAGTTTTCTCGTTGTTAGCAAAACGATCAGTCAGATTTTTATAATTATGAAAACTGACCATCCCTACATCCTCCAATATTTTGTTTTTATTTGGAAAGAAAAACAATATTTATGGAGCTTGTTTGCTCGAAACCTTTTAAACCGTCCACTTAGTGTCAATTATTATTATCGTGTTTTGTTTCCACATTTTGTTTTACTACGAAAAGAAAAACAATCTGATGTGGGAACTGTTAAATGTGGAAATAGAGATGAATGCTTGATCTCAATCTTTTGCAGATTTAATTAATCTTTATTTAATATTCCGCATGGAAATCTTACTCAGTCTGGGGGGTTGGAGAGAGCATGGAGAGAGGGGTTGAATAGTTAAAATGAAGATATAGAAAGATGTAGTTATTCTAGTTAGTCTCAAATCAAAAGCGTTTACAATGTAAATCGAGATGACGTGGCAGAATTTTCTAGATCCTCTTGCCGCGTCTCCGTATCCAGCTCAGACTCAGATCGTCTTCCGCCACAATCAATCGATTATGAGAATCCAACACAGAATAAGTTACCAGCTCACACATAAATGACATTTAACAAGTTTAGGTTTTTCTAAAAATATCTTAATCCTGTCAAGGATGGTTTAAAAATAGAAGACTTTTATGCAAATATACATTTTTTCCGAAGCAACATAATACACAGTTATCAGAGGTAATAGCGCGGGTCGGGTAGACATTTTTTTTTTCATATCGGGATTTTTAATTCTCGAAGTATTAATTTAGCATTTTATCGATGCGATTGCTTCAGAAATTAAGATTGTCCGAAAAGGATCTGTTTAAAATAAATAATTTTAAAATTTGTATAATTTTAAAATAGTACAAAAACTGTTAAATGGTCTCAAACGAAGTAAAATTATAATAGTGTTCAAAACATGTCTTTTATCCTTTATGTGATCAGTAAGGCAGAAGATACCACTATAAGGTGTCTACCTTAAACATTGATAAGTTTTGAAAATGTTCACCATTGCATGTTTAACATTTCACCATAGTTTCAGTAGAAGTAAATATTTCCAATTACTGATAGCGCCGATTGAAGGATTCATAACTCTGATTGGATAATGAGATAGATAGAAAGATAGATGTTAGCGCCATACTATTTCTATTGGTTCAGAATAGACAACAAACACATGACTGAACCCTGATTGGATCAGGTACTTATGGACTGGCATACACTTGTTTGCCGATTCCATTAGCACCTGATCCAATTTAGTTTAGTCATGTGTTTGATGCCTATTCTGAACCAATAGAAATTGTATGGCGGTAACATCTATCTTACTCATTAACCAATTAGAGATATGAATCCTTTAATCATTGCTTACAGTTAATGGAAATATTTATTTCTACTGAAACTATAGTGGCGCTTAACCCTATCATTGATTAAAGCTTTTAAAGGTGCCATTGCGAATGAGCTATGCCAAAGTATACGTCTACACCTTTCATATTTAGGGTGAATGGTCGGGAGCTTCCTGATGATTTTAAGCTGGTTGTGTCCAAGAAAACGGCTGAGGGAGAGAAGGGAAAAGGATATCTTGGTTTTATCCAACTGTTCACGTGAGTTTCTTTTAGAAACCAGTTCTCAGCTGAGAATTTATTAAAGTAAAAGAGTAATTGAACCAAAGAGAATATAGAATATATATTAGAGGGGAATTTACTACAAAAAAGTGTAAAACGGCCATTTTGTTGTACTGTTTCCATACTGTAGGTTTATTTCACATATTTATGTTATATAACCTTTTGGACCCTGGAATATCATTTTATAGAAAATCTAAAATTAATATTAAAAGAAAACCAAATTATGAAATAGGCAGGTTTCATAATTGACCAATGATCATTTCACATAGACTCTATGCCTTTTACTTTATAAACGATGATTTTTCGTTATAACTATAAATCAAATGATGTTTTTTATTCACCTAATTCATTATAAAGTTTATTTAACAGCTTTAAAAAATTCGAAATTGAAATGGATAGTCTAGGGAACATACTGTATTATTGTACTCTACTGCATATAATTTGTGAACATTTACATGATTTGAACTGAAAAAGTTCATACCGAGAGATTCTCTAAATTCCCTCTCTAATATATATTCTATTCTCTTTGAATTGAACTAGTTAAAACTAATTCAACTATTTCGTGGAGCCATTTGAATTTATCTCGTCCTCACACAATAGTAGTTGAACTAGCATCTACCTCTTTCTCGTTCATAAATTCAGAACTTAGGGATGAGATTTAATAATCACCTAGACTTAATTGAACTGTGTTCCCTTAAGCTTGAACAAGATATGTGATTCAACTATACTTCCAAGTAGTTTAACTACGTCTTGCTAATCGATAAAGGTAGTTGGTGGTGGCGTGACAAACATGCCGTGTCACCAACTGTTAGACATGCCGCTTCACCACCTGGCGAAGGCAGTCGCCAAAAAGAACTTTCTCTCTTGCTGAACAATTTTACACTGTACTGCAAACGTCTACTAGGTCTCAAATGAATCCTAAAAATATCTCTACAATACTGTACTCACGCACAAAAACCATGTCTACGCGGTTACTCCTTTCTCAGAATAAACAAATCTTAAAAATGGTTATTTAGGCATTCTCATCTTCGTCGTAAGACATTGATAAATTACTACCTCTGGTTCAGCACTGCTCTCATATACTACGGGTTAACTCTCAACTCTAACAGCCTAGGCACATAGATTCAGACTCATATAACAAGTTGCATCAATTTTTTTAATTGGAAGTGTAATAACGACTTATTTTTATTTTACCTTACTTAATTACTTAGTTTTACCTTTTTTCTAGTCCTAGAATTGTACATTTTAGTGCTTATACAATTTATAAAGCGTGTTGCTTTTAGCTTAAGTTTGAAAGAAGTAGATGGCAAAATTTCATCGAATTTAGCGTCAAAGCTTGAAACTTTTGGATCAATGTGTAGGAGCATCTCTGTTTGTTTATCAGTCAGTTGGCAAGGTAAACATATTTCTTTACTAATAACATAGATTAATAACAATACAGATAGAACTCTAGATGTCGTCTTTTTAAATTCGAGGGTTTATTCACAATAATTTCCGATGTAGAGGCCCAAAGGAGTTACACGCATGCTCTCTCTCTGTCTTTTCATTCAACGCAGTATGCGCGTAACTTCTTTTGGGTTCCTGCCTCACGGTTATTGTAAACCAAATATACTACACCTTAAAAATATGACATCTCGTGTTCTATCTGTATTGTATCACTTAAAATTAATGACTGAAAAATCCAAGTTCATTTGAAGTACCGTACCAATTTTTGGCAGCTATAACAAGTTGTACAGAATACATGCATACTATAAACGGCATAGCAGGACAGTACACTAAATGAATAACCGCCTTCTCAGGCGCGTAGTGGAGGGGGAGGGGGGGGGGCAGTAATTTTCGAAAAATTCTGAATAAAATTTCCGGAAAATTCTGAAAGAGAATATCCTAAAAACTAAAAATAAACAACTTCCAGAAAATTACACGCGAAATACAATTTTCGTAGATTTCCTAAAAGACAATTTACGTCCTAATTCCGATTTAGCAGCCGTTGTTGAATGTTAGTCCGCTACGGAATTTTCCCATCCAGATTTACAGCGCACAAGATCGAAGGAGAAGGATTAAATATTACCGGTACAATATTAAATTTCGTAGTTTCCATTTAACAGTTTATATTTACTAGAATTCAAATTACATCTTTCATCAAAAAAAACTTATGATTTAACTCATAAAGTAGTTCTATATCTGCAATGTATGTTAGTTTGATGTGTCAGTAGGAAAAAATTTACTTTAGTTTGACGTGGAATTTGTTAAATTTACTTCAGTTTGACATGAATTTATTAAATTTGCTTTAGTTTGACGTGGAATTTTTAAAATTTACTTTAGTTCGACGTGGAATTCGTTAAATTTACTTTAGCTTGACGTGGAATTTTTAAAATTTACTTTAGTTTGACGTGGAATTAGTTAAATTTGCCCTAGTTTGACGTGGAATTTGTTAAATTTACTTTAGTTTGACGTGGAATTTATTTAATTTACTTTAGCTTGTCGTGGAATTTTTAAAATTTACTTTAGTTTGACGTGGAATTTGTTAATTTTACTTTAGTTTGACGTGGAATTTTTAAAATTTACTTTAGTTTGACGTGGAATTTTTAAAATTTACTTTAGTTTGACGTGGAATTTGTTAAATTTACTTTAGTTTGACGTGGAATTTATTAAATTTACTTTAGTTTGACGTGGAATTTGTTAAATTTTACTTTAGTTTGACGTGGAATTTTTAAAATTTACTTTAGTTTGACGTGGAATTTGTTAAATTTACTTTAGTTTGACGTGGAATTTATTAAATTTACTTTAGTTTGACGTGGAATTTGTTAAATTTACTTTAGTTTGACTTGGAATTTGTTAAATTTACTTTAGTTTGACGTGGAATTTGTTAAATTCAATTTGTTCTCAAATATTACCTCAGGGTTATAAATATTGACATTTAATAAAAGCAAGATTTTAAAAGAAAAAAGGAAAACTTTCTCAAGCTTTTTCTATCCTTTCGAACTTTGAAAGTACACATTTAATAAAAAATTATTACATTGTTTTTGTTAATGTAAATGTAATGAAAAAGTTTTCTTATTGTGCAGGGTGTATCAAGAAATATGGCTTGTAAATACCATGCAGGACTACAATATTTTGTAATCCAAGTATAATGGAATTAATTCTTTGCCACAAACTCTGATTTTCTAATCCCTTTATCTTTGCAACCCAGCAACCCAATGTCGTAGACCTAAGATATTTCCAACTATGAATCTAGGACAGAATTTAAATAATTTGAACTAGCGAATAATCCTTATTCTTAAACTTTAAATCAGTGGTTCTAATTTGAACCGACACTAAGTAGTTCAGCGAAGAAGCTCAAATTCATCAAATTCGATCCGTGTTGGATAATAATCAATAATAATAATAAAAAATTTCAAAGGTTTACGCCTCAGGTTTCAAAGATGTCGAGATTACTTTTAAATTACGGTCGGCAACTGAATGGATAAAATGATTTCAAAGACCAAAAGATGATCTTGATATAGTTTCTCAATTTTGGTTGTACACTCTGTGTATTGGCTGACCCTGCAGAATAAGGAAAAATATAAAATAAAAGCTTACATCCTTCTTTTGTGTTATAATCCTTGGGGTAACTCTTTGTTATTGTGTTGTTGGCCATGTTAATATTATATAACTAGAACTTATCATTGTATATACAAAGCCACACAAAATTAGCACAATGAAAAAAAAATCGTGGAAATTGAAATTTTTTAAAAATCAACATTTTTCAGATTCAACCTTGCCTGGTCATGATCATTATTTCAAAATAGTTTAAAACTCTTTTTGTGGAATTTTACCTATATCTTAACGATATGAAAAAAAACGATATAAAAATTATGTTATATACTATGACTATATTATCTTAGTTCAGAACCAATAGAGATCTCAACGGCAGCAGTAGGATCTATCTTTCTATCTATATCAATATATCTATTCAAATCTTGTAAATAATCCATTTAAAGATTCACAAGTAAACTATCGTACATTACTTATATTGAAGCAAAACAAGGATGTTTGTAGAATTTGTGTGTGAAAACTAAAATTAAATGAATTGTGTCTTTGTCATGAATTAAACAAATAAAACCTTATATCTTTGCAACCTATGGTGCAAACCTGTAAAACTTATGATTATTTGATTTAATATAATTCATAGTTTGAAATATATAACATATATTTACGTTATTAGGTTGCAAAGATATAGGGATTAGAAAGTAAAAGTTTGTGGCAAAGATTTAATTCATTTGAGATATTAATAGTCTGATAGTAAATATCCAAATTAAAGTAATTAAGTCTTCGCCATACAAACTCAGATTTTCTAATCCCTATATTTTTGCTACCTAATGTCGTAGACTAAGATTATTTAATTTTGGATTTTTTTAGAGCCAATAATTCACGTTTGAAATATAAAATACATATCATACAAATTTCAGGTTTCAAAGATATATAGGGGGATTAGCAATTTTGAGTTTGTGGCGAAGACTCAATTCAGTTAGTTGATAACAATGATACAACATAGTTAGAAAAAGAATATGTAATTACGGTTACAGTCCCTTTAATATTGTTTTTATTTCAGTTGCTTGAGTTCCCTGCTATAACCCTGGTTATATTCTGTTTATTAAAAACTGGAAGAAGAATAACTTTAATGATATTCTACAGCCTGGGAGGTCTCAGGTCTTGTTTTACAAGTTTTAACATATTTATTCCTTAAATTTTAATCTTAAAACGATATATAAATGATTTGGATGATGTCAGCTGTAAATATTTTAACATTTCTGGGTTGCTTGATCTCAATTCGGCTAATTTTTAACAAGAAAACGTTCGTAACACCCTTGCAATTACCGAATTAGAAATAATCTCCAACCAACAGGGTTTTAGTGTACTAGCTTGTGAACCAGGGAGTAAGGAATAGAAGGGAGACGGTACACCAGTTGACTAAGAAATATTTGTCTGATGTACAATTACCTCGTATACAATAACCTTTTTTGAATATTTCATATACAAATGGAGTACCCGTCTGCAAAGCATCTTTAATCATATGGTATATATATGCAACCGCGTCAGTTATATCTCCCTTCTATTCCTTACTCCCTGTTGGGAACCCAGCGTTGCCCAGTAGTTACTCCAGCTGTTTACCCACATTTGGTCTTAAATTACGATTTTAAGTAATTTCCCCGCACTTACTTTTTCGTATTTTTCATAAAAGGGACCGCGGTATTAATTGATAGAGGTCTGATAATGTTTCAATCAGATTTCTATGTTTTTGTCTTTGAAAACTGATTGCTTTCATTTTTTTCTACAAAAACACTTTCTTCAAATGTCTTACCTCATCAACATTGAGATATGACCGAGTGGCTGGAACGGTTGTTCTTTCACGAGAACGAACGGAACTATCAAAAACGATCCCATAGAGCGCGTTCTTAAAATACTGGAACTAGAACGGAACAATCCAGCTGAAGGCACTCGTTCTAGAACTGAATGGAGCAATTTCAAAAAAGTCTTAACGTGCCCAGCCCTAATATGAACAGAATCAAACAATTTCCAAGTTTAAAAAAACGACTTTATATCTTCCACATTGATGATCAGATTATTATTTTAAAAGTACTGTTGTGAATCTGACATAACCTCCTGTGATGTTAAAAACAGTCCTTTTAAGCATATTATGTCAATTGGTTTAATGATTCTGATTAGCATCTGATAAACCACAGTAATCATGATAAAAATGAATATCTATATTTTTGAATTCATAAATAATTAATGCTATCAACATATTTCTGGTATTTTCATGTTATTCAATTTGTTCGGATGTTTTCCTCAACTATCATCTATTTTGCACATTTATTGGACAATTTTCACGACCCCTGGTAAGGTGTATTTTGGCAATTTTCACGACCCCTGGTAAGGTGTATTTTGGCAATTTTCACGACCCCTGGTAAGGTGTATTTTGGCAATTTTCACGACCCTTGGTAAGGTGTATGGATGGCTGAAAGATGAAAATGTTTACTGAAATATGTGCACAAATTTGAGAAATAAAATAAACTTTAAAAAGTCTTTATTATCTGATACAGTATGTGGAGGAAGACATTCAAAACTGTTCACCAACTGTCATGTTTCGTGGGACACCCTGTATATGCAAATTGTTACGTTTCTTTTCTAGTGATAATTAAAAAGATACAAACATTTCATTGATTTTGATTGTTATATTAAGATGTTAGGTACTTTCACAAAGGATTTTTCCCAAGTGCCCCCCTAGCCCATCCTAGCCGCAGCGCTAGGGCCCCATTGCAGCCTGCGGCGCCTCAAAGGGCCTAACCTAACCTTTGGGAAGTTGCCGCTTGGGATATCGTACATTTGGAAAGTTGTCATTTGTAAAAATGCCTATGGAAAAGTACCGAACGCCTAAGAAATTTACACATCACTGAATTTAAGTTAATTTAAACTAGAAAATTATTTGGTTCTTTGATAGAATTAAATCTAATTGAAAAACACCATGGATCTATGTTATTTTATGATCAGTGTTTCAAGTATTACATTCTACACTGTCAGTTTTATTTTAGATCATGTCGAATCATTGAAAATTTTCGAAATTACGTAAATACCTTAAATCACTGAAGGACTATCTTATACATACATTAGTGTCCCTACAGTTCACAGTTGAATAATACGGGCAGCCGTAATACATTTGAATTTCCGAGCCGGGTCAACCTTTCTGGTCCTAGTTTGCACTGTATCGCCCGGACACTGGGTAAATAAAGCAGACACTTAATAGGACTGGCCGGTGCAACAAAGTTGACGCGGTCAGACTTTAGGTTGAATTTACTTTTACTGAAGGGTCAGAGATGCGAGATAAGGGTAAACGATGAACAGTTTAATAAAAATTAAAATGTCTTTATCTGGTAATGTTAATCGGACTCCCTAAATTGCAAAATACTATTCTACAAAAAACTAATTATATTTAGTTTGCTTCTGACCATGTTTGTTCCTCTAAACTATTTCACCAACGAGTGGCCGATTGTGGCTCTGAATCTATTAGGTCAGATTTTATAAAGAAAAAAAATCAAACAATTAAAAAATTTAGTGATGACACAAAAATATTTTAAAACATAAAATCACAGGACATTTTGTTTGTGTGAGAGCTTACAACCTTTGGATAACAATGAGTACATAAAAGTTTACTTTTTTTATTGATTTACAATTACATGTTTAAAATTGGAGGGATATGTAGCATTTAAATTGAATAAAATGTATTAAAATCGAATGATATATACTTTGGAGAAAAAAACTCAGCGGGAGCGGTTGAACGAGCGGTTGAGATCTAGCCTAGACTCTACGCAGTTCAGAATAAGAAATTAATAAGAAATTTACAATTTGTTCAACCGCTATATCGCACTTTTTCGTTCACATTTTCAACAAATGAAATATAATTTTTCCTGAATAACGTTTTTGCTTTTAACCGCTGGTTTTCAGATTTTTAGCTGCTTTTTTACTTTCAACTGCTCGTTTAAAGATTTGTCAGCAACTTTTTAACTTTCAAATGTTTTCAGATTTTTCAGCAACTTTTTTGATTTCAACCGCTGGTTTAAAGATTTTTCAGCCACTTTTTTTTTCTCCAAAGTATATATCATTCATTAAAATCACAACTAAAGATTTTTTATCTTATTTAATTGCTAAGGATGCATAATGCTTATTTTCAGTTCTGTCGGAAGATCATCGGTAAAAAAGCGAGGGCCTAAAGTAGCAAAAAATATTGTTATTCATTTTTCGACAAATAGACCTATTGTATTTCACTGTGATTTAATGTTTCAAACTCTCAAGCAAAACTCAATGAGAAGTTTGCCAATTATTTCTTAAAAACTGAAGATAACAACAGGTGCTTTATAGTGCTAAAATGTACATGTAAAGGGCTGTACATGAAAGGGCTGTACATGAAAGACATAAGAGAGTTGGAGCGGTAAAATCAAAGCCAAATGCGTTGCGACACTTTAAAGTCACCCCATGTCTTACAATTTGATGAAACTACAGTTAAACCCTAAATACTAAATACATCGAAAGAATTTATCAAATGTAGTCTTGACAATTTTTCAATGGGTTTTATACTATTTTACGTAATTTTCAGTATTTGTAAAAATAAAAAATAGCCATGAATATGCGGGAACAGTTTTAAAGAGCTCCATATAATTATTTAATTAAAAAACTAAATATCTAAACATTTCATCATCAGAATGTAAAGATTACGACATTTGATAAATTCTTTCGATGTATTTAATATTTAGGGTTTATCTGTATGTAATTTGAAGAGGCATTGAGAACTGATGATTTTCATCTCCTGAATTAAGTTAAAATTTAGAAAATTTAAGCATCCTATTTTTCCTAATCAAGATTCAAGACAAGTGTTTTGTTAAAGTAAAATCTAGACGAAATTGTCAGAATAAAACACGTGATCTTCCACATTATTGATCAGATAAGGATTTAAATCACATTAGTAGGTTACTTTAAATACCAAGTACACTCCCTTAAATGATCATCGAGACTGACGTTTTAAATTATATTTTAGGTCGAGTGTGTGCAATTAATACTCTGGCTTGCTGCTATATTTATAGCTCGGAGATATTTCCTACAGTTGTACGTAATGTCGGGCTTGGATCCAGCTCACTTTGGGCTAGGGTGGGTCCAATGGTAAGCTTTCAAAACAAACTGAGATGATCACATAATTTTTCCAAATTGCATGCTAGACACATTTGCTTTTTTAAATTATGCAAAAGTTTACTCTGCTAAAAGATAAAAATCTAAAAAAATTGTTGAAAACGACTACTGTGAAATCGGTTTCATAAATGTTTTTTTTATAAATCGTTTTGGGTAATATCTCAAATAAAGAACTGTTATTTCAAAATGTATATCTTATCAAACATACAATTTTGGTTAGTGTTCATGCTCTCGAATCCTTTACCCAAAATAGTCTGGGGGAGGGGGTCCCAGCCCCCCTTTATTTCCTTTTTTGAAATACAAATCTGTAACAATTGATAAACTTTTGGAAAGCCCTAATGATTCATATACTATACTATTATAATTTGCAAAAAAATGTGCAAATTTTCTAAATTTCAAATATTTATTGCAATCTCGAGTTTTTAAAATACTTTTACATAGTGAATTTAATATGGAAAAAAAATAAGCAAAACTTTCAAACAATTAATGTGTATTCAAGGAAAACTGAAGTATTCAAATTCTTTTTAAAGTCATCTGTATAAAACTTAAATTTGTAATCTGCTTTCTGTTGTGTAAGGCTTTCAAAAGAGCTATAAAATTTCGAAATACAATGACCGGAAGTGGGTCTAAATATAGATATTGTCTGGTAAAGGTAAATTAAGCCGAAAGTGAGGGACATGTGTGAGTTAGAAAGTCAACAAATTTGAAAGCCTCAGACCAACACTTTTCGGATTTATCTTCCAAAAAGTCTGGGGGACAAAAAAAAAAAAAGGAAAAAGGGTTAATAAGGGTTAATAGGAAAAAAACTTGAAATGTTAAAAAAAACTATGTCAATTCCAAAATTGGTGAGATTTTGTTAAATTTTATTCAATTCAAGGTGATAAATTACGTCAATTTTTTGGAAGCAAATATAAAGAAAATCAGTGCCCCTTAGCCTGTGAGGCTGTGAAAGGGAAGGACCGAAGCTTTAAGAAAGGCCAGTCATTAAACTTGTATTGTGACAATAAATACAGGGGACACTAGTTCCAAAACTAACACTTGGCCAATATTTAACACTATGAGTATTTGGAACTAACTTCCCGTGAAATATCAAAGAGACAAGACGATGGATTTTTAAAGTTCGTTTTTTAAAACAATCGTAAAAACGGTCGTTTTTATAAAAGCAATAGTTTTCAAAAACGATCATTATTCGTTTTCTAAAAGTTCATCGTTCAACGATCGTTTTTCCGAAACCCAAACGATCGTTTTCGAAAACGACAGGAAAAACGATCGTTTAACGATCGTTTCCAAAAACGATTAACAATCGTAAGTGTGAGCGATAAAAGACATTTTGTTTTGCCTTTTTCTTAGTCTTAGTTCTCTACTTTTATTTTAAAAACATTTTTTAACAATTATTTTTTACTGCATATGAGAGATATGAGACATAAGATCACAGATAAATTAAAATAGCAGAAAAGATTTAGGGATATTTTTGTTAGGCTCTACGTCTCTATGGTTTTAAATGGGTTACTGATGAAAACATGTTAAAGGGACTGTAAGCGTAGTTTCAAGTGACCCAATGCAAAGCTATCAATGCCCTTTAAACCTTTATCTGAGAAAAAAATTGAAAATACCGTCGTTATCCTGACTTAAAATGTTTAATTCTGATGACTTCTCTATTGCTTTAGCAAGTCACAAGTCACTCTTGCAGAAAAACTGCAAATGAAAATAAACATGTATTTCTTATTTTTGATTAATCATAAAAAGTACCATAACGGGCATTGTCATCTTTGCATGAAGGGCCATCCAATCACGCAGTTTTAAACTATTTTTTTTCTAAGGTTGCTCCGTTTATAGCTGGTTTGAAGGAGTATGATGAACGTATTCCTACAGCTACATTCGGTGTAGTTGCCCTGGTCGCTGGACTACTCGTCACCTTTCTTCCGGAGACATCAAACACACCACTTCCGGATACTATACAGGTCCACAAGGGTGGGGCAGGGCAGGGCCCCCTTTTTTATTTAACTCGAGAGGGGGGGGGGCAAACTTTGCTACAAACTTAATAATAACGGTCAGAGCCGAGCCTCTTTTTTATGCCCGAATTCGTACTTTAGTCTTTATAAATGCCAATCTGAATCTCCACTTAAAGGGACAGACCGGCTCTGTAAGGAAGTTAAACTGAGTATGCAGTGTTGTGGACAAATTCTTCAGGATTCATTTGAGACATATAAAACGTTTCCACAATGTATAATTACTGAGTTTGAGTGCGAAGTCGACGTTTACAATTATGAATTTGGGTGGGTACGTTTTCAGAATCGGTCTTTTTAAAATTATTAATTAGTAAACTAATTAGATCTATAGAAACATATTTCTCAAACAAAATGTGTCAATAAATCGAAGTAAGAGTTAATTATTTCCTTTTCCATCATTGTATTGAATTTTTTATTTTCTATGAAATTGTTCGCAGATTTCTTCAAATTCTTGAAATGTCGTCTTTTTAATAAAAATTCCAGAAAATCTTTGTGATAAAAGAGAGATGACAGAAAATAATAATTTAATAAGATTACTTATTTTCGATGATCAGAGTTAATTTTTATATTTTCAACATGTTCCTAAACAACTAATTAGTTTACTCTAAAATTTTGTTTACATTTATTGTCGTCCTTATTTAATAATTAAAAAAACAAGAAATTGTCAAATATAAAAAGATCTGTTTGGTAGCACTTCGCTCCAGTGAATTTTAAAGGAACTGTGTAAGCGTAATTTCAAGTGACCCTCCGTGCAAAGACGGCAATGCCCGACTATCAAGTATTAATTAGATATTTATATTTTTGTTTATTTTATATGCTTTTTTCATTTGCGGGTTCTTTGCGAAAGTAATATGCGCAATTCTTGTTTGTAAGAAGCATGAGAGAAATTATCTGAATTTAACACTTTTCTAATCTGAAAATAGAGGTTCTACATTTTTTGATGAAATAAAGGTTTCAAGAGAACCCTTGTGAATCTGGCATTGCCATCTTTTGCATTGACGGTCAGTAAAAAAACAGTCCATTTAAAATGATAATGATATGAAAGTTTAAGCCTTTAGCTTATTAAATTTAGTTTTTCTCTTTCGAGAGTTCGGACAGTTTAAAATGTGAAGCCTTTCGCAAATAAAATTATTTGTAAATTACGTTACAACTTAAACTTACGGTTTTCGCGGAAATTTTTATTTTCGTGAAATAATTTTTAGCAAATTTTCGCATTTTTTTGCTTACTTTATTTCCGCGAAAAAATACGAAATTTCGCTAAAAACGTTTGAAAATGCGTGCAAGAATGTTATGTTTTTCGACAAAGTTTTCGTTCGCTGAAAACTATAAACTAGACTGCTGAAAGTAGGCTTTCAAATCGGAATTCCGTTGATGGGAATTGCGCGGAATTACAGGGTTTGCAATTACACTTTGAAAACCTGAGTAGTAAGTAATCAACAAATTGTTTTTCTTCTTGATTTACATTTAATACTTTTTAGATATTTTAGATTATAATTCTGGACACTCACTTCCATTATTAAATTGCGTGCTCTCTCAGAAAATAAATTTGATTTCTCCTGGCGCCCGGGAAAGAAAGAAAATGACATTCAATAGAAAGAGATAGAAAATCTATTTACCTTCAAATCTATATTTTATTAGATTGATTTTTCTTTTTTATTGGAGCTAGCACTTTTTATCCTGTCCTGTACTTTGGATTAAGAAATTGTTATTAATTGCACTTTTCAACTTTCCATTTACAAAGCTGTATGTATAATAAACATATCCTGGATTTTCTGTCATAAAACTAATTATTTTCACTTGAAGCACGAAGCGTGCCCTGGAAGCCAAGTTCTCCATAAAAGTCGGTTTACTCAATTTAGAATTTTTAAACAAAGTTAAAATCATTTCCATGTTTCTAGCGAGTAACCCAATCAAAATTTGAGGCAAACCGGTCTCAGAGGGTTGAGTTATGAAGGGACATCAAGTTGCTTTTATTGCATAGACAACGCCGGGCTCTTTTAGCTAGTTAATGATATTATAACGACTAGCTTACTGTACAACTGAGATTTACATTTTTTTCTTTATATTTTCTCTGTCAACGAAACTATTTAATACCGTCTGTCTCAAACTCTAATTTTCTACACCCTTTATATATATTTACAACTACCATGGATGTCCTATAGATCTTCGAAATAGCCATATACAGCCTACAGGGTGTTCCACGAAATATGACAGTTGTTGATTAGTTTCGAATGTCTTCTTCCATATATTGTATTGGGCATTTTTGCAGTTTATTTAGTTAAAAAAAACATCTTTTCCTCAAACTTATTTTACTTTGAAAAAAAATTTTACTATAATTTGATTTTATTTTAATATGATTGTCATATAGTATTTTTATCATTCTCTTTAGTATTAAACAGCTTCACTAATTATGGACGAAGACATTTTAAGCTATTCACCAATTGTCATGTTTCATGGGACACCCTGTATATTAATTAACAATAACAGATTGGATACTAGATGTCGTCTTTTCAAGATTTTGGGGGTTTTCGTTCACAAAAACCCCTGAAACAGAAGCCTAAAGGAGTTCCGCGCAGGCAGCGTTGAATTTCAAGACAGTGAGAGAGCATGCGCATGCAATTATGGGGTCCCTTTAAATAATTCTTTAACAATCCCTTTAAGATAAAAGATACAGGGAGTCCCACGAAACATGACAGTTGGTGAATAGTTTAAAATGTCTTCTTCCATAATTTGATAAGTTGTTTAATACTAAAGAGACTAATGGCATTTTTTTATATGATTGTTATATTATAGTAAAATTTATTTCACAGTAAAATATAAACGAGTTAAACATTTTTTTAAAGAAATAAACTTCAAGAAGTCTTCAATGTCTAAAACGTATGTGGAAGAAGACATTCAAAACTATTTATGGACTGTCATGTTTCATGGGACACCCTGTACAACATGCAATAAACACTTTTTCCAAATAAACTGCAAGAAGACATTCAAAACTATTCACGGACTGTCATGTTTCGTGGGACACCCTGTACAACATACAATAAACACTTTTTCCAAAATAATTTTATTTTTCAGGAATCTGAAGCATTGGGTCAAGGAGATACATTTTGGACATCGCTGAGAGAACAGAAAACAAAAAGTGAAAATAAAAAATGAAAAAGAAAATGTACTAAAAAGTTTAAAAATAAAAAAAGTTTCAAGTTTGGTCTTCAATAACTAGTTGATATTGTTCCTTTAAATATGGATTGTCCGTGACTTCTTTTACCATTGATGAATGGAAATTTGCTCTCCATTCTCCTCAACATAATTGTATTATATCTGTAGAGTGTAGATGGAATATACAGGGTGTCCCAAAAAACATGGGAATTCAGTGACGAATTCGATATCGTCTTTTCAAATAATTCTTTGATTTAGTATCGTGATACCTACTGAGAAAGTTGTAATCTGTAAGAGTTTCGTCTGCTATGTTCACATTTTGTTTGTTTATGTTTTGACTGCACACGGTTGTACTTAGTAAAACAAGAAAATTGCAGTATTACAAACAGAGTAAACTTGTCCGTCTTCACTGTTCATCTTGCGGGGACATTATAGACACATCTTTTCAGTCTTTTACCCTTTCCATAAAATAAATTCTAGCAGACCTAATAAAATTATGGCTGTTGAAATTAGGTATTACAATGCTAATTCATAACAAAGACGATATCGAATTCGTCACTGAATTCCCATGTTTTTTGGGACACCCTGTACATTGCCGGCATAGCATCATATATGATCATCAATAATGCAAGAAAATACAAAGATATTTACCTAAACGTCTGTACAGTGAACAGTAGGGGGGGGGGGGAGGTAAGGCCGCATGAGCCCTGCAAAGTGGTTTCTGAGCCACTAAATTTGAATAATTGACAACATTACAAAATCGAGCCTCACATTCTTGACTAATATAATCACTATTTCTACTATATTTATTTTATTACTTATTGTTTACTTTCATAGAGAAAGAAATATTTTAAATGTTGTTAGAAAATGTCATCATGTGTGAAATTTTATAAAATCCTCCACAATTGAGAAAGTCGGAGATTTGTCTGCAAACTAACTAAATTCTACAAAATGGTGAACATTCGTAACATATTGTAAATAATTCAAGTGAATGATTTATAAATTTGTTCTACAAAAAAATAGATAGGCTTATATACGTTTCAAAATATACTTACACTTTGACTAAACAGATGCTCTCAATGTCGTCTTTTAAATTTTTCGCGGATTTTTTGTTTAAATTTAAAAAATGTCTGATATATCCAGGCCTATTTTTTAACTCTGCCGGTCCATAACAGTCATGAACAGATCAGCTGTTTCGACGTTTATTGGTTATAGAGAGACAAACCAAATATATATATTTACCCACAAAAGAATAGACGGTGGAAACGACGTAAAAGTTCAAAATATAACGATTTAAAGGTGATTAAGTCTTTTGCTCTGAATATATCTTTTAATTGCTTAATTATTAATTTGACAACAACATAAACACGTTTACTGTAGCAAGGATTTGAGAATAAAAATCAAAAAAACAGTACAGGGTGTCCCAATAAACATGGGAATTCAGTGACGAATATCGTCTTTTTAAATAATTCTTTGATTTAGTATAGTGATACCTACTGAGAAAGCTGTAATCTTTCAGAGTTTCGTCTGCTATGTTCACATTTTGTTTGTTTATGTTTTGACTGCATACGGTTGTCCTTAGTAAAACAAGAAAATTACAGTATACAAACAGAGTAAACTTGTCAGTCTTCACTGTTCATCTTGCGGAGACATTATAGACACATCTTTACAGTCTTTTACCCTTTTCATTAAATAAACTCTAGCAGACATAATAATATTATGGCTTTTGAAATTAGGTATTACTATGCTAATTCATAACAAAGACGATATCGAATTAACCACTGAATTCTTATGTTTTTTGGGACACCCTGTATAATCCATGGCAGTCGTCACTGAGGTATAATCCTTTGTGTGTAACCCTGTTTATAGATTCCGGTTTGCTTATCGAAAGTACCCAGAAACCTTTTCGTTATTAGTCTTACACCAATACCATTAATAGAACAGGGGATGAAAGACTTTTATTATTATAGAAAACATTTTAAACTTTTTTTACTGGAAATTTCGCTTTTTTAAACTTGTAATGTGTAATGGTTTTATGATGAAAAAGTTCTTCATTTACTTACGTGCACATCAGGGTGTTTATGCTCTATGAGCATGAAGTTGTTGCTTTTAAATGGTTTGGTAAATAATTTAACCAATTTTGCATCCAAATAAATGCATTTTTTCTTATATTATGCTCACCAATTTTGACGTACTATTTTTGTTTAACATATATTCAAAATATATAACTTTGTAAATCTAGAAATCAAACTTAATCTCCATCTTTTATATATCTTTGTAATAAATGCCTTACTCCAATAGTTCTTTAAGTATATATCAATCCAGATACTATCTCCATATTCTTAAGTCTGTATCAATCCAGATACAACTCTCTCAAATTCTATACTCTCTCTCTACATATGGCCGTAATAAAACAGAGTTCATATTAAACTAACTATATTTGAGTATAATATACAGATAAAGATTAAACTGACCGATAACATGGTCAGGTGATTATAACATATCATATACACAGGTAGGTTTAGAATTCCAAGATATGGTGATTATTACTATATTATTACATCTTGATCTCCATCTTATATATACCTTGATCTTCATCTTATATATACCTTGATCTTCATCTTATGTATACCTTGATCTCCATCTTATATATATCTTGATCTCCATCTTATGTATATCTTGATCTCCATCTTATGTATATCTTGATCTCCATCTTATATACATCTTGATCTCCATCTTATATATACCTTGATCTTCATCTTATATATACCTTGATCTCCATCTTATAAATATCTTGATCTCCATCTTATATATATCTTGATCTCCATCTTATATATACCTTGATCTCCATCTTATATACATCTTGATCTCCATATTATATATATCTTGATCTCCATATTATATATACCTTGATCTTCATCTTATATATACCTTGATCTTCATCTTATTCATACCTTGATCTCCATCTTATATATACCTTGATCTCCATCTTATATATATCTTGATCTCCATCTTATATATACCTTGATCTTCATCTTATATATAAGTTGATCACCATCTTATATATATCTTTATCTCCATCTTATATATACCTTGATCTCCAACTTATATATACCTTGATCTCCATCTTATATATACCTTGATCTCCATCTTATATATACCTTGATCTCCATCTTATATATACCTTGATCTCCATCGTATATATATCTTAATCTCCATCTTATATATATCTTAATCTCCATCTTTTATATACCTTGATCTTCATCTTATATATACCTTGATCTCCATCTTATATACACCTTGATCTCCATCTTATGAATATCTTGATCTCCATCTTATATATATCTTGATCTCCATCTTATTTATATCTTGATCTCCATCTTATGCAGACATATTATATTTCCTTTACGATACCCTGTGGGACAGTGGGGTCATACATTAATAATTTTTATTTGTTAACATAACAACATTTTTCCATATCTTTTTTTCAAAAATGTCTTGTCAATAGTCTTGTCTGTTATATTTTATTAAATTTATAAATATGAATAAGTTTGTAATTTATATCCCATCTATGTATAAATTTGGCTTGTCTGTTTGGGTGTCTGTTTGTTTGTTTGTATCCAATAAACGTCAAAACGGCTGAACCGATCGGGCCCAAATTTTTTTTGTGGGACATCTAGTGACCCCAGGGAAGGTTTATGAATGATTGAAATTTTGAATATTTGTCTCCATCAAAATTCGATCTTCATTAAGTTTTTTAAAATTTTGAAAATCCACGAATTTTTTTGTGAAAATCCGCGAATTATTTTTGTTTTGCTTTACGATGTATACAAAGAGAACATGTTCACAATCAATTTAGAAGATGGGCGCGAAGCGCCCTCTAAGGCTAGTATTTTTAAATTATTATAATTTTTGAAGAAAATGAATATTTAATGTTAAATATTAATAGTTTTACAAATACATCAAAGACTCTATAGATCAGGCAACAGATTGAAAATACAAAAAATTGTCATAAGAGAAAAAATGCGTCACAAGAAGACTTAATGCAAAAGACAGAAAATGCTTCACAAAAGAAGACCAAATAAGTTTTGACAGACCAAATGCAACACAAAGAACACTGCAGATTTCAGAGCAACATTTAACAGCTAAACTTCCTATTAGAAAAAGTAGTGTTTTTATCTTCTACTTTAGAATTCTATAGGTTGTCCTTATAGTCTTAGACTATTGTGATTAGCTTAATGCGATGATATATATATATATCTGCACATAAATTGTAACTATGTATAAAAACTTAACATGTAAGATATTCTTGTAAATACATATTAGTTTGTTGAGACTCTGCTTCGATTACGATATTAGAAGTAATTTAGTCCTTGTTAAAACATACGAGCTGACATCATGCCTTGATATTTGATTGATCGATTAAGAGCTTGTTTGATAGCTACGCTTGTATTCCTGTGTGACATTCATAGCTGATGAGATTGTGTCCGGTGGTTTGTCATTGATCGACTAAGAGCTTGTTTGATAGCTACTCTTGTGTCCCTGTGTGACATTAATAGCTGATGAGATTGTGTCCAGTGGTTTGTCATTGATCGACTAAGAGCTTGTTTGATAGCTACTCTTGTGTCCCTGTGTGACATTCAGAGCCGATGAGATTGTGTCCAGTGGTTTGGCATTAATCAACTTATAACTTGTTTGATAGCTTTGCTTGTGTTCCCTGATGACTTTCAGAGCTGATGATATCATGGCCATTTGTTTGGCATTGATCAACTTAGAGCTTGCAGTTTGATAGCTTTGCTTGTGTTCCCTGATGACATTCAGAGCTGATGATATCATGGCCATTTGTTTGGCATTGATTAACTTGGAGCTTGTTTGTTAGCTTTGCTTGTGTTCCCTAATGACATTCAGAGCCGATGATATCATAGCCATTTGTTTGGCATTGATAAACTTAGAGCTTGTTTGTTAGCTTTGCTTGTGTTCCCTGATGACATTCAGAGCCGATGATATCATGGTCATTGGTTGGCATTGATTGATTAATAGCTTGT